ATGATTCATGTGTTTTGAAGTTCGGTGTCATTGGATTGAGGGTCATCCCTCAATATCAGAAGGCCTCCTCTTAATTTAATAATTAGTCTTGTAATTTAAATTGTAAAATATAGGGGTGTTCGCGGGGTGGTTTGGTTCGAATTTTAATATTTTTTAATCCAATCCAATTTAATCGGTTAGTAAAATTTTTAAACCAATCCAATCCACTATTATATAATAACCAAACCAATCTAATTTAAATCGGATCGATATGATTTGATCGGATTAATCGGTTTTTAACACTATTAAATATATGAGATAATATAAATAAATTTAACATTAAGTAAAAAAACATAAATATAAAATACGTTAATATCCAAATAAATAGAAACATAATTAAAAAAAATACAAATTATAAACAAATTCTTATATTCTTTTATAATTGTAAAAATTGAAAAGATTTAGAAATTATAAACAAATTCTTAAATTTTTATCTTAATCTCCAAGAATACCCAAAAGAGGGCTGCTACCAGCCTCCCAAGCTCTTTTAATTCTGAATTTGGATGGGTATTTATAAGGTTTTAGAAACCCTAATTGAAACAGAAGTAAGATTTGAAACAGAATAAGAAACTTGAATGTTCGACGCTGAACGTATAATGCTGACACTCTGAATTACGTATCGACACAAAACAAAAAACATAAAGTTTAATTTTGGACTATTAACCCATAGTGTCGACACCCATATTATGTGTTTAAGAATAAACCCAGCAAAATGAAGACGACAACCTTAGCAAGTGTACGCTACTCAAGAAGGTAGGGTTTTAAGAATAAAGTTGCAACTCACTTATAAAGATAGAATTGTAAGGGAATTTGAAATTTAGAATTAAAATTTATGTATATAATTAAAAAAAAAGAAAAAATAAATTAGAAAATATAAGATATGCTATTTTTATTTTTAATTAAATCAACAGAGTCATTATCTTGTAAAATAAGAAAAAAAATTTGAAATATTATAAAAATATTATATTATTTAATTAAGTTATCTTATAATCAGATTTTTTTTTATAATTGGGCGGTTCAAGCAGTTTAAAAGTAAAATTACAAACCAAACCAATTATATCGGTTTTAAATTTTTATAATCCAAACCAATCCAATTTTATATCAGTTTGGTTTGGTTTTAATCGGATTGAATCAGTTTAGGTCAGATCAATCGGATTTGATTGGATATGAACACCCTTAATTACATCCATCGAAAATACACATAGAATGTAAGTTAGTTAAAATCATAAACAATAAAACTGACTCTCTATTAAACCACAAATTTCAAATTCACTCACATTCAATCACTGATCCTCAAAAGAAAATAACATTCCAACAAGAATAAGGACAGAAATTTTAATTCATAATAATTCCAAAGCCACCTTATAAAACATCTTTTAATCATTCAAATCAAAAAAATAACTAGCTGGATTCGAAGGAAACATTAAACATAGAAAAATACAACATTACTGTATTCCAAGGTATATACACTTGGCAAAATGGGAATAAGAGGACAAGCATGTGCATGTTATATCACAAAGAACAAACTCTAGTACATAGTTCAGGCAGCAAAAAAGATCAGCTGCCTTTGGAGAAA